AGGTAAGTAGTCGCTAAACTTGTCTATTTATGAGAATCACTTAAGCTTTTTTAAAAAAGATTCCTGAACCCATTTCCAGACCACTATATCATACTGAAGTGGGGTGAGAGGCAAGAATATGTATTTTTTTAAAGCTCCCAGGTGATTCTGAGCCTCAGCTGGTTTTGATAGTTAGGTTATAGGAGACAGAATTTTCTCTAGAAATCAACTGAAAATGAGATATAAACAGAAAAAAATGTTTCTGATGTTGCAGGAAAAGAAGCCAGAAATGACATCAGTAAAAAGTGAATTGTATATAACCTTTGGGATCAATGGTCATAGTTGTGCTGATTGCCCAGGTCATAATGAAAGTGAAGCATGGACAGCTGAGCCAATTTCAAGGTCCCAGAATGAAAAGAGAAGCAGAGAACTGAGCTGGTGACAGCTACCAGAATGAATTCAGAGTAGCCATGTGGGATGGGGAAAGCATTAAAAGAGCTTCAGAAAGAGGTGGTAGAAAAATAAAGATTAAGTTTTAAGTATTGAGGAAAGATTAGAGGGAAATATATGCAATAACTGCGTATTAGCAAAAAGCTATAAAGCAATTATCAGGAGAAGTTACATTTCACTGAAGAAAAAAAAAGAGATAACATATGCCTTGGAAGGATAGTAAACACATTTTAAGAGACTAACATGGAAAAGGCCGAAGAGAGCTTAAGGATAGATTTATTATGGGACTCCAAATCCCCAAGTATTGCAAAAGGGGAGAGGTAAAGTAAAGCTTAATGCAAAGAAGTAGATAACAAGAGGAAATAAATAAGGGATTTCAGAAGTCTTGAAAGATAATTAGAATTATATATAAAAATGGATAAAGTACAGTTAAGATAAAACAGCATGTCATTCAAAAAGTAGGGAACATAAAAGCCCAGGAATTTATTTATGAAACATTTATTGGCTGTTTATCAGTATCAGGCAGTATGCCAGATGATGGACATATAGAGTGAGACACAATACCTGTTCTCATGGGATTTTCATTTCTGATAAACTCAGGGGGTAGAAAGGAAACAAGATGACATTCTTATTAAAAGTAGAACCTTATGTGATAAAATAATGTGTTTTTTTTAATTTATATATGTGTTTTTTACATTGTTGTTCCTCTCAGGTGTAATCTTTATGAATTCCCACCACCAAATCACCCGTGAACCATCACCATAGTCTCTTGTGCTCTTCCCACCCCTGTTCTGATCCCTCTTCCTTCCCCCTCGCCTGCTGAATGTCTCCCATTTATCTTTTGCCTCCTAGTTTTGTTTTTATTTTTTTTATTTTTTTTTTTCCTGATCCCTTGTTTGGTTCCTCTGTATTGTTTGGTTCCTTTGTATTCCTCCTGTAAATGAAACTACCCAGTGTTTTTCTTTTTCCTTCTGACTTACTTCACTGCTCATAAAACCTTCCAGCTCCATTGAGTTGCTACAAATGGCATGAATTTATCTTTTGTGATTGCTGAATAGTATTCCATTGTGTGTATATATACCACATCTTCTTGATCCAGTCATCTGTTTTTGGACAATGTTTTGTTTTTAAGAGAACTAATATGAGATTCTTCCCAATAGACTCAAGCCAGACAAGGCATTTTGAAGATTATGGGTTTTTGAAGGATATATTGGAATCTCTATTGGGGTCTATCTGACCATAGATGTAAATTACACAAGGGGATGAAGTTGTATTTGTGTGTCTGTTTGTCTTTCTATCTACACACATCCCCAAAGAAATTTAGAGAGGAAATAATTATTTGGTGTCTTTCTTGCATATTGTGAATAATGATATTTTGGGGAAAAGTCTAAAATTAACCAAAAGGGACCTATGAAGCCAGACAATGAGAATCTGTTGTGTTTTTTTTAAGATTTATTTTATTTATTTATGCTTACAGGAGCTGCAGTGTAGGACAGAGGTGGGGGAGGTGAGAATTCACCAGAGACAGAGTGGGGAGTGGAACAGGCAGATTGACTGAAATATACTGCTGAGGGGAGCAGTGGGCAAGACAGGAGAGGTCTGCTGTGCCATGTGGGTTAGCTCCCTGACTGGAAATGGAACTTGTGCTGCAGTGGCTGCTGATAGCTTCATAGTGCTGAGACTTAGTCCTTTGTACCACCAGGGAGGCCCAAGAATCTTTTTTTTTTAATAGATTATGAATTGTGAATGTACTTTATTTTTTTTTTAAAGATTTATTTATTTATGCATACAAGAACTGGGGTACAGGCCAGAGGTGCAGAGGGTAAGAGGATTCACCAGAGACAGAGTGGGGAGCAGAACATGCGGATTGACTGAAAGGCACTGCTGAGGGGAGCAGAGGCGAGACAGGAGAGGTCTGCTGCGCCATGTGGGCCACCTGCCTGGGTGGGGATCGAACTAGTGCTGCAGTAATTGGGGACAGCTTCATAGTGATGATACTTAATCCCTTGTGCTACCAGGAAGGCCCCCCTCCAAGAATCTTTTTATAAAATAAGGGTTTAATGCTTCTTAGAGTTTATATTACCTGTGGAAGAAAAACAAAGTATTCTGATATCATTGCCAGTTCCCAGAGCACATGTATTAAAATGAAATCTCTTTTTTCCAGTCTTGCAGTAGTAAGACTAATTTCTCAACACCTGGGAAGTTGTGGCAGAGTCATTTGGAAGATAAACAAATTCTTGTTGCAACAGAAGAAATTAATATTATGAAAGGAATAATCATGAGGGTAGCCCAGCATCCTCTTAAAGGTGATGAGATGATATTAGAAGTAAGGGCTCTTAGAGCAATGGTTAAAGCCAGAAGAGTTGAAGAGTTAAAGAGTCTAATCTATGTGCAGAAATGATTAATGAAAGAAGTACAAAGATAAAGAAATTGGAACAAATATTAAAAGTCAGAAACCAAATGGGAGAAATCATTATAAATACACCCAAGATGGTAGAAAACATAAAATCAAAGCCCAAATTAAGTCATTGCCTTACATTCTTAGATTGTGTAAGAATAAAAGGAATTATCATGGTAGATAAAAATACAATCAGATTTTCTTAAAATGACAACATTGAATGTTAGAAAAATTCTTTGTTAAACTGTTTTAGAAGCTAGATAAGAATTTTGGGAGTATACATTTGGGAGGTATAATATGGAGAGGAGGGATCAGATGCTTATAATATTGTAGTGTCAAAAAAAATGAGTAGCAAATTTAGTAGCAGGCATATACATTTTAAAAGTGAACAATATAATAAAATTACTGTAGAGAAAAGACAACCCCCGGGTTTAATGATCTGCCAGTTGGACTCTGAGCAAATCCTTTGTACCTCTGTTCAAAGGCACATGGAAAGTGAGGTAACTAGCATTAATGTTAAACTAATGTTAATAGGAAGTAAGAGAAACTAGTACTTGATCATATCAAACACTGAATGTAAGACTTTTGTGAGAATCCTTCTGGAGAGATTGACAGAATAAATGAGAGAGAACATGAGATGTCAAAGAAACAATATTTCATACAAGGGGTCTGAAAATTTAACTGAAAAATCCTTATGTGGCAAAGGAATGGGGTCAGAAACAAATTCGTTATACTTGGATTAAGGAAAGACTTTTATTTAGATAAACTATGATTTTTTTCTTTAATGTCATGTAAAATAAATAGTTCCAGAGCATTTATTGAAATATGAAGTCTATATTGGGATCAACATTTCCAATTCCCAATAAAAAAGATTGAAAAGAAAATTAGAGTGATAAGAATAAAGCTGTACTGTTCATATGATCCTTTATTTTTGTAGTCTATAGGTTGAATTTCTTCTCTACCATTAAATTTTTTTTGTAAAGTATATAAGGATATAAGAAGAGTTAGTCCAGGCCTAGTTTTCAAGAATAGCAATTTCTGGGCCTCCCTGATAACCTAGGGGTTAAATCTTAGCGCTGCCAGGCTATCTTTGCCGCAGCCTGAATTTGAGCCCTGGACAGGCAGCTAAACCCACATGACACTCTCGTCTACCCTGCTGCTCCCCTTGACAGTGTATTTCAGTAGATTTGCCTGTTCTGCTCCCCACTCTGTCTCTGGTGAATCCAACCCCCCTCCACCCCCACACACACACCCCTTGCACCTTTGGCCAGTTCTTCTATGCATAAATAAAATCTTTTAAAAAAGAAGAAATTGCTATTCTTTATTTTTTTTATTTTTAAAGCTTTTTTTCCTCAAGATTTTATTTATTTATTTTATTGATACAAGCACTGGGTACAGTCAGAAGCGCAGAAGGGTGAGAGAATTCACCAGAGCCAGAGCGGGGAACAGAACAGGCAGAATGACAAAATACACTGCCAAAATACACTGCCGAGGGGAGCAGCGGGCAGCAGGAGAGGTCTGTCACTACATGTGGGACCCTCCTGGTGACCGGGGATCAAACAGGCACTGCAGAGGCTGTGCGCAGCTTCGCAGCCCAGCGCTCAACCGCTGCGCCACTAGGGGAGGCCCTATTCTTTATTTTTTAAAAAAGATTTGTTTATGCATAGAAGAACCAGGGTGCAGGTCAGAGGTGGGGGGAGGGAGGTGAGAGGATTCACCAGAGACAGAGTGGTGAGCAGAACAGGCGGTTCAATTGGAATACATTGCTGAGGGGAACAGCAGGGTAGACATGAGAATGTCTGCTGTGCCATGTGGGTTGGCTGCCTGGGCAGGGATCTAACTCTTGCTGCAGTGACTGGGCCTGGCCATACCTTTGATAGCACTGAAACTTTAACCCCTGAGCCACCAGGGAATAGCCCAAGAATAGCAGTTCTTGGGTTTAAAATCCAATTCTTGGGTTCTGAAGTTTAAAATGAAGAATACAGAAAAGCTGGAATAGCATCATAAGAGTGGATTTTTAAGAGCAAAGTAATGTAAATTTGAAAACAAGAATAAAGGATGGCTATGTTCTTTAGAGAGGCAAAAAGAACCAAAAAAAAAAAAAAAAATTGAATCATGGAAATAAAGGAGAGGGTAAAGAAAATAAGCATAGGCTAATTAGAATTTGTTAGAGATCCTTTTCCAGTTCATAAGCATGATGATTGGGTATTCTTCATGCCATTGTGTGAGATGTATCAACCTTAAGCATTGCACAATGCCCACACATTACCTTTCTGATGTGAGGAAAATAAAGGTTATTAGAAATAAATTCTTAGTGGTCAGTTGATCACATAAGTTATTGGTATCACTTATTTCTGCTGCTTCTGCAGTTTTACATTAATGATCTCCTTCCTGGAACTTAAATCACCATTTGTATTCTAATGGTCCAAGCTATAGCCACTGCCTACTGAAGATCTCTTAAGAAAAAGTACCTTAAATTCTACAGGTCCATTCTGAGAAAATAATTCCCCTGCTTCTTCATCCTACTCAAATCTGTTTTTCCTGTGTTTCCTTATTATGGAGTATTTTTGCAGTCTTACTCATCCAGTCCCCCTACTTTAGAAACATCATTCTTGATGTTTCTTCTTTATTCTTGTTAATCAGTCAGCATGACTACTTACTGTCCCCCATAATCTCTCTCACATATATTTATCTCTCTGTTCTTATTCTATTAGTTTAGATCAGGGGTTGGCAAATTTTTTCTATTAGGACCAGATAGTAAATACAATAGGCTTTTTGCAGGCCATATAGTCTTTGTTATTCACAATCCTTGTAGCTCCAAAAGAGTCATAGACCATATGTAATGGAATCAGTATAAATGTTTTCTCATAAAACTTTATTTTTAGGCTCTGAAATTTGAATTTCACATTTTTTAAAGATTTATTTATGCATACAAGAACTGGGGTACAGGCCAGAGGTGCAGGAGGGTGAGAGGATTCACCTGAGACAGAGTGGGGAGCAGAACAGGCAGACGGACTAAAAACACTGCTGAGAGGAGCTGCGGGTGAGACAAGAGAGGCCTGCGGCGCCATGTGGGTGTCTCCCTGCCTGGCTGGGAATTGAACCTGCGCTGCAGATGCTGTGGACAGCTTCAAAGTGCTGCGCTCAACCCACTGCGCCACTGGGGATGCCCTTCTGTGCCTTTTTTTTATGCCATTTTCTTTATCCAAAATGGTTTTGCTACCTATTTAAAGTTGGCTAGTTCGGGCCTCCCCGGTGGCGCAGCGGTTGAGTGCTGGGTTGCGAGGCTGCCCGCGGCCTCTGCAGCGCCAGTTCGATTCCCGGCTGCTCCCCGGCCACCGGAGGAGGGTCCCACATGGCGCGCAGACCTCTCCTGCCGCCCGCTGCTCCCCTCAGCAGTGTACTTCGGTCCTTCTGCCTGCTCTGCTCCCCGCTCTGGCTCTGGTGAATTCTCTCACCCTCCCGCGCTTCTGACTGTACCCAGTGCATGTATAAACAAAACGAACAAACAAATAAATAAAGTAAAAAAAACAAAACATGCCTCTATATAAAAAAAAAATTTAAAAAAAATAAATAAAATAAAGTTGGCTAGTTCAATGACCCTACCTGGTACTGGATTTCTACAGTAGTTATGCTACTTTAGATGATACCTTGCCTGCTGAGTTCTTGAGACTGCTGTGAAGAACTAATTGTTTTATACTCTCCCATCCAGAACTTAACTTGACACAGCAAGTTATTAAAAATCTTAACTGAAAATGACATGGCCATTTTGGAAAACAGTGTGACCATTTCTTTAAAAACTAATCACTTACCATACAACCCAGCAATTTTATTTCTGGGCATTTATCCCAGAGAAATAAAAACTAATGTTCACAACAAAAACTGTACACAATTTTTCATAGCAGCTTTATTGAGAATAGACCAAAACCAGAAACCACCAGAATGTTTTACAGTAGTTGAATGTTCTGGCAAATCAAGGACATTCATATCATGGAATATTACTCAAACAAAAAATGGAATAAATTGTTGATATATGGAGCAATTATGTATTATGCTAAGTAAAAAAAATTCAAAAGGTCTTATGTTATATGACTCCAGTTATATTACATTCTTGAAATGGCAAAATTGCAGAGATAGAGAACAAATTAGTGATTGCCAGGGTTTAGAAACAGTGGGGTAAAGGGAGATCTTTATAAGAAAGGAATAGTTCTGTATCTTGATTTTGATGGTGGTTACATCATTCTGTAGATATGACAAAATGACTTAGACTTATACACATACATTGTAGCAATGTTGGTTTCTTGGTTTTGATGCTGTACTATAGTTATTTAAGATGTACCCACTAGGGGAAATTGTATAAAAGACCCAAGGGAATTTCCTGGTGCTATCCTTATAATTTCCTGTGAATCTATACTTAATTCAATATAAAAATTTAAAAGTGTTCTTTAGAGATTGAAGTAGTGTTTAATATAATTATTTTGCCATTCATGGTTTCTGAGCAGAATGAATCTGACTACGCCTTTCAAAGTAAAGTTACTCTTGAAGTTGACAAGAGAACTCATTTACAGTGATATTGTAGTTGCTTTTACAATTAAGTAAAACCTTTTTAAGCAAGAATTGTGTCACAGTGTTTCATTGTGCATGAGCCAGTTCATCCAGAGATTTGTTTTCATTTTAAAATTAACTGGCAAGCCTTAATTTGAGTCATATTTTGGTACAATTTTAAGTCTCTAGTGTTTTTGGTATATTAACTCATAGGAGGATGGTGACCATAGCAATGACTCCTGTGTAGTATCTGTCATGCTAAGGGTGCTTGATAAGCATTGATTATTTTTGATTTGACATTAATTAAATCAAACAGTTCTTTTTTAAATATGAGATGAGATTGCCTCTTGTAAGGTTTTGGGAAAGCATTGAGCAATATTCAGCTGAAACTCTAAGGCTTTTGTAAGTTGTTATCATTTTTGTGCAAGTTTAAAGTGAGTGATATAACCCCAGAATTTCTGTAATTCCTTTTGAAAAGAGGTGGGGTATACATAAATAATTAAAGTTTTTTCTTTTGTGTTTATGATCAAGTTAAAAGTGAATATAAGCAAAAAAAAAAGTGTGAACAAAACTACGTATTCTTTAGTAAAATGAAAACTTAATTTTTTTTAGGTTAAACTACAGAACAACATATCATATCAGATGGCAGACATACATCATTTAAAAGGTAAGAAACTTAATTACAGCTTAAAGATAAAGGTCACTAATGTCAAAAATCCTCAGGAATTAAGAAATACTTAGAGCTAAATAAAATTTTCTGAACAAAACTTGTCTGATTGCAAAACATTTATCCTTAAGTGTTTTAATTAATTACTTTGTGGTAGTTAATATTTTCTTGTATATATAATGATTAAGAGTTGGTTTTTATGACTGGGAGAAAATTTTTGCACACAACACTAATGATAAAGGACTGATCACAAAAATCTACAAAAAGCTGATGAGAGTCAACAAAAACAAAGAAAATAATCCAGTCAAAAAATGGGCAGAGGAGCTAAAAAGAAACTTCTCCAAGGAGGAAATGCAAATGGCCAACAGGCATATGAAAAAATGTTCAACATCCCTTATCATCAGGGAAATGCAAATCAAAACTACAGTGAGATACCATCTTACACTAGTGAGAATGGCACATATGAAAAAACTAGCAACAAGTGTTGGTGAGGATGTGGAGAAAAAGAAACTCTTCCTGCACTGCTAGTGGGAGTGCAAACTGGTCCAACCACTATGGAAAGCTGTGTGGAGATTCCTCAACCTACAAAAGATAGGGCTTCTATATGATCCAGCAGTTCCGCTCCTAGGTATATACCCAAATGACACAGAAACATTAATTCAAAAGGGCACCTGCACCCCTATGTTTATAGCAGCACTATTTACAATAGCTAAGCTTTGGAAACAACCCAAATGCCCAAAAATAGATGACTGGATCAAGAAGATGGTACATATACACCATGGAATATTACTCAGCAATCAAAAAAGATAAACTCATGCAATTTGCAGCAACATGGATGGAGCTGGAAGGGATCATGCTCAGCGAAATAAGCCAGAAAGAAAAAGAAAAATACCAGATGGTCTCATTCATAGCAGGAATTTAGAAAACCTAAATAAGGGACCAGGAAAAAGAATAACTATAATAAAGAAAAAATCAAAATCAACAAGCAACTATAAACCAGAGGCACACTACGGGGGGGTGGGGAAGGATGGGGAGAGGAAGGATTGGGGTCAAAATTAGGGGGGGGTGCAATTGTCTGGGGAATATAACCAAGATGAAAATGCATACATTGTGCAAAAATGAAAAATAATGTAAAAAATACATAAAATAAAATATATGTGTAAAAAAAGAGTTGGTTTTAGTCCCCTAAGTTAATAGATTAAGATTCTAGGATACACTGATTTATTTTTAATAGCTTACTTTATTCTTATTCATATTACTACAAGAAAATTTGAAATCAGAATTTTCAAGAAGTAAATACTTAACCTCATTTGAAATTAAATTGGGGGAGTGTACCATATCTCTATAACATTCCCCAGTGTCTACTGTTGGGAGATAAACCATCCTGCACAATCTGATCTCAAGTTACTCTAAGAATCCTGCTGTGGTGGCCTAGAAGAACCACTCTAGATATGGGATATCTTTGTGTTCAGTGGAAAGTAAACTGCAATATAGGAAATTTTGTGTTTCCTTTTGTTTTCTGGTCTTGTTTTTAACCCCCTTTTCGAGTCTTGTGACTCACTCAAAGTACTGATTAGCTCTCTACTTTAGAATCCTTTCCCTGTGTTCAAACAGAAAAGAATCTGATGTTTTACATGGACTGAAACTCATACTGATGTTTTGTATTCCTTTATCAATTGTATTTTAAGCCTTTTTTCTCCACTTAGAAATGAAAACTTTATTTCCTGAAAAAGGAATTTAAAATACTGTTAGTGAGAAGTTTTGTGGGGTGGCAGAGAAGCCATCCCAAATGTTGAAACCATACTAAACCTCAGGTTCATTTTGAAGGTAAACGTAGTTAATTAGGTTATTTTATTGTGTCGGAAAAAGAAATCAGAAAGAGTTCTAAAGATCACCAATTGAGGTCCATTCCTTAGTAGCTGCTATGTTAAGTGGTGCTGGGTTTTGTTTATTTTTGGTTTTCTTATATTTGTTTTTTCTTTTTGTCTTTTTTTAAAGATTTATTTTTATTTATTTATATAAGCACTGTGTACAGTCAGAAGCGCGGGAGGGTGAGAGAATTCACCAGAGCCAGAGCGGGGAGCAGAGCAGGCAGAAGGACCGAAGTACACTGCTGAGGGGAGCAGCGGGCGACAGGAGAGGTCTGCGCGCCATGTGGGACCCTCCTCCGGTGGCCGGGGAGCAGCCAGGGATCGAACCGGAGCTGCAGAGGCTGCGGGTAGCTTCGCAATCCAGCGATCAACCCAGCGCTTAACCACTGTGCCACCGGGGAGGCCCACTTATATTTGTTTTTAATGAGAGTAACTTTTCAGTTCTAGAACCTTTTCTGCCTGAGCACAGATTAACTGTACTAATTCCATTCTTTAGCTACAAGTAAAATTAATGTCCATAGCTTATAAAATCAACATCCACACTTGGGCCAGAGCTCCTGCTACCTCTAGCTCTGTGTTTTAGGACATGGGCCAGAGATCAGCTGCACGGTGAATGTGTTATTCAGGGCTTCCTGCCTTCAGATTTGTTACTTTTATCCGAGGTGGAGTAATAGGTGAAAAACTATGAAGATCAGTCATGTTTACATACTGGAGAATTAAAAGAGTGAAAAGAGAAATTTAAAATGTGTCTTGACTGAACTCATAGATAGTATGGGGCTGGGTGGGGTAAGGGAATGTTAAAATGACTGTATTTGGGGGATTTAATAAACAGTGTGGTGATTACAATTACCAATACTGCATGATACTTGAAAGTTGCTAACAACTTAGATATTAAATGTTCTTTGGTGAAATAGCATGCAACTGTAGAGGTGTACACCTTTTACCTGAAGGCATATACTGTGTTGTAAAACAATGTCACCTCAATAAATAAAACTTTTTAAAAAACTAAAAATTAGCTTTCTTTTTGTTAAAATGATAAATTAGTCTTAGAACTCTTATTAAAGGATAGCAAAACACTGCTCTGCATCCTCTGTGAAATCTATTCAAATATTAGAGACTGTATAGTTAATCAGAATAATTTGCTTTGCTCTGTATTGGCTTTTATAATATCCTTAATTTAAAAAACAAAACAAAACAAAACAGTGCAGTGCTTAAGCCCTTGTGCCACCAGGGAGGCCCCCTGATATAAAAATTTTTATTTATTGTCATTGTTATTTATGATTCCATAATAAAATTTATAGAGAAATTAAGAATGTGCTCAGAATCCTGCCACTAAGCACAATTACTGATAGAAATTTTACATGGATACAATTATATTATAAATATATGGATACCTCTATTTTTTAAACATTTATTCTAAAGTTTTGGAATGCCTTTAAAGTAAAACTAGTAAGCCTCCCCGGTGGCACAGCGGTTGAGCGCTGGCTTGCGAAGCTGCCCGCAGCCTCTGCGGCGCCGGTTCGATCCCCAGCTGCTCCCTGGCCACCGGAGGAAGGTCCCACATGGCACGCAGACCTCTCCTGCCGCCCGCTGCTCCCCTCAGCAGTGTACTTCGGTCCTTCTGCCTGCTCTGCTCCCCACTCTGGCTCTGGTGAATTCTCTCACCCTCCTGCGCGTCTGACTTACCCAATGTTTGTATAAATAAATAACAATAAATCTTTTTAAAAAATAAATAAAGTAAAACTAATAAAACTAATTCTGTAAGTCTTTCATGAAAGTAGATATTATGTATAGTTATAATATTGATATATTATGGTTAGATATGTTTTAGTATTCTTAGACCCTGCTGTAAACTTCTGTTCCCATTTATAAAAATTAGGACTTTCTTAACTACTACTTTTATTTAACTGCTAATGCTGTTAGCTAATTTTTTAATTAACAAAAAACTGGCATTTACTCTTCTCTGGGCATTTTTTTTATTTGTAGTCAGATACTGAGGGAGAGACTTAGAAAATGAGGGCCAATGATCATGGATAAAAGTTCACAAATGAGCAGCTGGCCCAGCTTTTAATTTACTATCCAGCTTGGACTTTCATGTTTTTCATAACAATTAATAAAATTTTTATCCCTAGTCCAGAAATTATGAGCTCTGAAAACTGAATTATAGTATAAGTAAGCTTAGCATCAGTAGAAGTAGTACAAATGATATTTAAAGTGATTGGCATCTAAATTCAGAGTCAAACACGATCTAAAATGAAAAGGTGGGCCTCCCTGGTAACATAAGGGGTTAATTCTCTGGTGAATCCTCTCACCGCCTGCACCTTTAGCCTGTACTCCAGTTCTTATATGCATAAATAAATAAATTTTAAAAAGGAAAAAAGTCTCAGCACTATGAAGCTATCCAACCAGGAAGCTAGCCCACATGGCACAGCAGACCTCTCCTGTCTCTCCCACTGCTCCCTTCAGAGTGTATTTCAGTCAGTTTGCCTGTTCTGCTCCCCTCTCTGTCTCTGGTGAAAACCCTCCCCGCACTCCCCACACCTCTGGCCTACACCCCTACACCCCTGCTCTTGTATGCATAAATAAAGATTATCAAGTTTAAAATTTTAAAAAAATAAAATGAAAAGGAAACCTTGAATTCTGTGTCCATAGCCAACATACCTAAAAAGTATGATTTTTTTCCCTACTTACATAAAGTTAGATAGGTTTAAAGAGATAGTTTTTTTGTACTGTCTCCAGTAGGTGAAAAGATGTGCAATCTTTTATATTTCTGATTAATGTTTTCAAAATTAATTTTATTGCCCAAGAATGTGTTATAAAAAACAATCAAATGTGATATTAGTTATAGAATTTAACTGATTAACAGTATGAGTAAAGAAATTAAAAAGTAAATATAATTAAAAAAGATTCCATAACCTCCAAATAGGAAGCATTAGAGTAAACTATATTCCTTTGTTTCTTGTTGAATAGAGCAACTTGCTGAGCTTCGTCAGGAGTTTCTTCGACAAGAAGACCAGCTTCAGGACTATAGGAAAAATAATACTTACCTTGTGAAGAGGTTAGAATATGAGAGGTAAGATGCTACATGGCAACAGATATTTATAACTCTGGAATATTTGTCCAACATTTGGACAATTCATTTCTTCCTTTCTGACGTCTGTTGTTCTTCTCTTGTTTTCTTAGATCTTTTAAATTCCTTCCTTATTGTCTTTCTATATGTCTTTGAGATTCATACACTATTTTTTTAATGTTAAACACCATGTAAATATTTATTACAACATGTTGAATCTACCCTGTAGTAGAATTTATTATGATACAGAAAATCTTATAAGACCTAAGCTTTATCAAATTAGATGTGGCAAAGATTGGAAAAGATTCTGTGGTTCTTTTTGAAGGGCATCCAGAAGATAAAGCTGACCCTGGGAGATGTCCCCAGAAGAGAAGGACCAAGTGCTAGCTGCTTCCCCTGTCCACATTTTAGTTCCCTTGCTTACACCTTCATACTCAGTGACGAGGTCAGGGTAACTCTTAGGGACCTGTCTAGCAATCACTCTTTAAAAATGTTTATCATATCTTTATCTTTAATTTTTTGTGAAAGGTATTTTTTAGGTCTGTGCACCAAAAATGTTAAATATTAGCCACATTTTAAAGCACTATTTTTGTTTTCTTTATTTTTTTTTCTTGAGGTAACATTGGTTTATGACACTGTATGTGATTCAGAGACAAAGGAACACACCTAATCAGATGCATGTCACTACACTACACCCACCACCAAGGCACCCCTTAGATCCTACTATGATCCATTGTATTCCCTCTCCTCTGTTTTACCTCCTCCCCATCTGGTAACCTCAGTTCCAGTCAGATTACTAGGGATTATTGGTTTGGTTTTGTCTGACCCTTTGTTTTGTTTCTCTATATTCTCCATATAAGTGAAACCACCTGTTATTTTTCCTTTTCCCTATGATTTATTTCACTTAGCAGAATCCCCTCCAGTTCCATCCATGTTGTCACAAATGGCAAGAGTTCATCTTTTTTTTATATGGCTGAATAATATTCCATTGTGTATACCTAGCACATTTTTCTGCTCCGCTCCTCTGTCCTTGTGCGCTTAGGTTGTTCTATAACTTGGCTATTGTAACTAGTGCTGTAGTGAATGTAGGAGTGCATATTTCCCTTCAAATTAGTGTTTTTGCATTCTTTGGGTAGATACTTAAGAATGGAATTGCTGGATCATATGTTAGTTCTAGATTTAATATTTTGAGAAACCTTCATACTGTTTTCCAGAGGGGCTGGTCCCACCAACAGTGGTAGAGGATTCCACATCTGTACCAATACTTATTTTTTCTGGTCTTTTTGATATGTGCCACCATCATAGTTGTGAGATATCTCACTGTGGTTTTGATTTGCACTTCCCTAATGATAAGTGATGATGACCATTTTTTCGTGTGCTTGTTGGCCATCCATATGTCTTCCTTGGAGAAGTATCTATTTAGCTCTTGTGCCCATTTTTTGATTGGTTGCTTTCTTTTGTTGAGTTGCATGTGTTCTTTATAAATCTTAAATATCAACCCCTTGTCAGATGTATGATATGCAAATATTTTCTCCCATTCAAAAGGGTGTCTTTTTATTTTACTGATAGCTTCCGTCACTAAAAATACTGTATTTTAACCTAACATTATTTAATACTTTCCCATATATCTATAGAATAAAAAATTTAACACATTTAAAGTAATATATTATTCCATTATATTATATTAATGTACCAAAGCTTGTTTAATCTTTCTTAGTAGTTATACCATTGTAGGAGTTTACCTCTTCTCATATAATGGCTTATCAGCTATGAAAATGTTTATTCACAAAGGATTTTCCCCCCTCATAGGTTATATAAACTCATAACCTATGAGTTTATATTGTTAAATAAATATAAACTGGTTTATATTGTTAAATAAAGAATTCCTGAGACACAATGTTTTATCGGTTTTGTTGTGCTCATCACACCTATGAAAGATTGCTTTCTGAAGTGATGGTACTAATTTATAATATGTAATATAATATAGCCCCACCAACATAGACTATTTTATAATTCTAACGTAATTTTACTAGTATAGGACTGAGAAGTCTAACTTGCATTTTAATATGAAAGGTAACATTTTTCTGTGTATGTCTTTTTTTTTTTAACAATTTATTTATTTATGCATACAAGAACTGGGGTATAGGCCAGAGTGTTTGGGGGGGGGGCGAGAGGATTCACCAGAGACAGAGCAGGGAGCAGAATAGGTGGATTGGCTGAAATACACTGCTGAGGGGAGCAGTGGGAAACACAGGAGAGGTCTGCTGTGCCATGTGGATAGTTCCCTAGCCGTCCGGGGATTGAATTATGCTGTAGTGGCTGCAAATAGCTTCATAGGTTTCGTCTCAGCCTCTTGCTCCACCAGGGAAGCCCTATATTTCTTAACTATAAGTTTCTTCTTGCATGAATGATCTATTTGTATCCTTTGATTAGTTGTCAAGTGAAAATTCATACTATTTAGTCTGTTTTGTTCCTTTACACATTCTCCTCATGTTTCTATTCGATCTTCTTTATTCTTCTTCTATTGCTACTCTTTACATGATTTAGGCCTTTATGATTATTTTTAAAGTATTAGTGGATGAACCATCTGCCATCACCTTTCATCAATTCATAATTCTAGCTTTCTCATCTATTATTATATATTGGTCTCACAGTTTCTTTTGTGATTCTTGTATTGAGGTTTTGGGGAGAAGTCTTTTTTTTTAAGTTAAGATTAAAAAAGGACTTTGGATAAATTTATGGATTTCTGCATACTGATTTATCACTACCTTCCATTACAAGGGAAAATTGAGGGGGCCTCCCTGGTAGCACAAGGAGTTGTCTCAGCACAGTGAAGCTATCAGCAGCCACTGCAGCCAAGTTAAATCTCCGGCCAGGTAACTGATCCACATGGCGCAGCAGACCTCTCCTGTGTCTCTCACTGCTCCTCTAAGCAGTGTATATCAGTACATCTGCCTGTTCTGCTTCCCATTCTGTCTCTGGTGAATCCTCCCACCTCTGCACCTCCGACCTACACCCCACTTCTTGTATGCATAAATAAATAAAAATAAATCTTAAAAAAAATAAGAGAAAATTGAGAACCTATATGTAGAGAATGTCTTTTCACATGTACTCATTAAAAACATGCAGGAAAATAGGAGAAACGACTTTTTCTTTTCTTTTTCCCCTTACCACATTTAACCCATTGTCCCTCTCCCTTATTAACCTTAGAAGCCTCATTTCATTTATTGTTTGCTAGTATTTTTAGAAATTTTGCCTTGTCAAATTGCTCACTATATAAATGTCCAGCATTTGTTTGTCATTGTGACTTTCCTTACTATAGATATAATTCTCTTGAATTCCTTCCATTTCATCATAAATAGCATCATTTAATCTTTCCTTATGGCTGAATAGTATGCCATTGTGTATCTATACCACATCGTCTTGATCCAATCCTCTATAGTGGAAACATAGGTTGTTTTCATATCCTAGCTATTGTATATAGTGCAGCAATAAACATTGTTGAACATATAGTTTTTTGGATTCATAGTTTCATTCTTTGGAAGCATGCCTAAGAGTTAAATTGCTGATCAAATGGTGTTTTCATTTTCAATTTTTTAAGGCAAATACAGATTGCTTTCCATAAGCAATCTATATCAGTTTACATTCCCACCAACAGTATAATAGGGTCCCTCTTTCTCTGCATTCTTGTCAGCTTTTGTTAGGAGTATTTTTAATATGTGCCATTCTCACATATTAAAAGTGTGAGATGGTATTTTACTGTGTTTTTAACCTGCACCTCTCTTATTGGGAGTGATGGTAAACATTTTTTCCATGTTGGCCTTCTGGATATCCTTTTTTTGATGAATTGTCTGTTTAGATCTGCTGCCCACTTAATAATTGCCTTGCTTATTTTCTATTGTTGAATTCTGTTAGTTTTTAAAATATCTTGGGTATTTATCCCTTGTCAATTATGTAATATGTAAATATTTTCTCCCATTCAGTAGGATGCCTTTTTAATCTACTTATATTTTCTTTTGCTGTGTAATAGCTTTTCCACTGAGGTAATCCCAGTTGTTCATTTTTGCTTTTCTTTCCCTTACCATAAGAGTTGAGTCTCCAAAGTCATTTTTATCATTGAGGTCGTGGACAATATTTTTTCTCTATATATGTTATTGTTGAGTTGTTAAATCTAGATAGTTATATAATTTAAGTGATTGTTACCTCTGTATTTGTTGTTCTGTTGCTGTTATAATAACTCCTTTAGTACTTCTTTCATGTCTGACTTGTTATTGATCAATTCTCTTTTTAAAAAAGATTTATTTATTTTTGCTTACAAGAACTGGGGTGTGAGCCAGAGGTGGGCGGGGGTAGGGATAGCGGGGGCAGTGAAAGGATTCACCAGAGACAGAGTGGGGAGTAGAACAGGCAAATCTGCTGAAATACACTGCCGAGGGAAGCAGTGGGTGGGACGGGACAGGTCTGCTGCGCCATGTGGGTTTGTTCCCTGGCTGATGGGGATCAAACTCATGCTGTAGTTAGTGGCTGGCAGTAGCTTGATAGCACCACCTTTAACCCCTGCGTCATCAGAGAGGCCCCTATTGATCAATTCTTTTAGTTTTTGTTTATCAGTGAAGCAAAAACTTGAATATCTTGAGTGTTAATCTTACAGGATAAAGAATTCCGGACTGGAAATCTTTTTTTTTTTTTTTAAGATTTATTTATTTATGCATACAAGAACTGGGGTATAGGCCAGAGGTGTGAGGGAGTGAGAGGATTCACCAGAGACAGAGTGGGGAATAGAACAGGCAGATTGACGGAAATACACTGCTGAGGTGAGCAGTGGGCGAATCAGGAGAGGTCTCCTGTGCTGTGTGGATAGCTCTCTGGCCGGGGATCAAACTTATACTGCAGTGGCTGCTGATAGCTTCAGAGGTTGCATCTTAATCCCTTGTGCCACCAGGAAGGCCCTGGACTGGAAATCTTTTTCTCAGAGTAATTTAACTGTCTCATGCCATTCGCTTCTTGCTTGTACGGTTTCTACTGATAAATTCCATGAACATTTTAATTGCTGTTCTTTTATAGTTTAGCCCCTTTTTTCCTCCATATTTTTAGTATTCTGTCCTTGTTAGTGGTTTTCAAGAGTTTTAGTATAGTATGTCTTATGGTGTATCTGTCTGGTATTAGTTCGGAACTCTGTGGCCTCTTGTATCAGTGGTTCTCAGTGATTATTTCATAAATAAAATTTCTATGCCTTTTTCTTTCCTTTTTCCTTCTGGGACCACCCTCCCATCTCCCCTACCAATAATAATACACACAACACAGGTGTTGTTTCTTTTTATGTGTCTCAAAGGGTCTTTACAATATTTTCTTTTTTTTTTTTCTTTTTTTCTCTTTGTTGTTCTAGTCGTGTGTTCTCTGACACTGTGCTTTCAAATTCACTAATTCTATCTGTTGTATTTGTGTGCTATTAAGACCCTCTACTATATTTTTAAATTCAATCATAGTATTTTTTTAGGTCCATTAATTCTAGTAGTAACAGTCTCATATTTTTTTGGTCTTTATTTTCCTTTTTAACATCATCCATTTTTATTTTTAGTTCAGTAAGCATTGTTAGAAACTCTTTGAATTCCTCTTCAGGCATACGCTGCAGTTCTGATGAGACTTCTCCTGGGGTGTTTTGCTCCAGCATTTGTGATACCTTTTTCTGTCTCTTCCTTGTTAGTTTTTATAGGTTATAGTAGGGATAAATTTATTTACCTTTGCATCTATTCAGGTGTCCAGAGAACTGGTACTGGCAAGGGGTAACAGGTAGGAGGAACCGAGATAGTAGGACAGTGAAGAGTCACCTCCAGTGATTATCAGAGATTCAAGTTTCCTACTTTACTCCGGGTATCAAAGTTGTATAGTAGGGATCCTCATTTTTCTCCTCCTCTAGACCAACTCCTCAACCTAAATATTTTCATATAGTCTTTTTTTTTTTTTTTAAGATTTATTTATTTATTTATTTATTTATATAAGCACTGGGTACAGTCATAAGTGCAGGAGGGTGATAGAATTCACCAGAGCCAAAGCGGAGAGCAGAACAGGCAGATTGATGAAGTACACTGCTGAGGGGAGCAGTGGGCGGCAGGAGAGGTCTGCGCGCCATGTGGGACCCTCGCCCAGCAGCTGGGGATTGAACCGGCTCTGCAGAGGCTGCGGACAGCTTCACAACCCAACACTCAACCGCTGCACCACTGGGGAGGCCCTAGTCTTATAACAGCTTTATCCTCTGTGCTATGTTTGAGCACCAGATATTAGCAATAGACATGGATTGTAGTTGAGACAAAGCTGGGCTATGTTCTATTTGTTTTTCCAGTGCAGAGCCTTACTCTAGTGTACTTGCATCTATTGTTAAGATTCAGGTGCTTGAATTCTGGCTAGTGAAAGTGTTTAGTTGTCTGGATTTTGACCCCAAGAGTAGGGGAAACGGTTGGAGGTGATCACAGTATCACATCTTCAGGCTATAAGTAACAGCCTCCTTTATGAGGAAATGGGTGATTTGACCTGGCTCTTGCAGCTGGTTGACTATCTAGCTGTTCTATAACGACAGTCTCAGGTTCAAACTAGGTAGTAATACTCTGTACCTCTGTTCCTATAATTCTCCAATCCTGCACCCTCTGTCCTGGATGCCAGCTCTCTATAACCCCTTATCCAGTGCAGTGCCAGGACAACAAATTCCCTGATGTGGGCCTGTGCCCCGGAGTCCGTAGCTCTAGGATGGCTCAGCATGGCAGCTACCCCTCCCTCTTGTGAACCATACTGTCTCGTATCCCTGCAAACAATTTAATTAAAGTTTTTCCTGGGCCTCCCTAGTGGTGCAAGGGGTTAAGTCTCAGCACTATGGAGCTGTCTGCAGCTACTGCAGCACTAGTTCAATCCCCAGCCCAGGAACTGACCCACATGGTGCAGCAGACCTCTCCTGTCTTGCCCACTGCTCCCCTCAGCAGTATGTTTCTTTTTTTTTTTTTTTTTAAAGATTGATTTATTTATTTATACAAGCACTGAGTATAGTCAGAAGCACAGGAGGGTGAGAGAATTCACCAGAGACAGAATGGGGAACAGAACAGGCAGACCGATGAAATACACCTCAGCAGTATGTTTCAGTGGCCCTGCCTGTTCTGCTCCCCACTCTGTCTCTGGTGAATCCTCGCACCTCCCCCATCCCCCATCCTGGCACCTCTGGCCTGCACTCCAGCTCTTGTATACATAAATAAATAAAAATAAATCTTAAAAAAAAAGTTTTCCTACCCCTTTTCCCTGTCGGTGACTCCTGCTGTATGCTGTAGTGATCTCTTTATTCCTCAGGGGCTGTTAACTTTGTTCTGCTGCAGTTTAGTTGTGATTCTATGGAAAAGGTAAGCCATGCCTTCCCTCTGCTGCCATCTTGCCAGACTTGAGCAGTTTTCTTTACGAAAAAGTTTTTCTCTTCTGTGAGTGATGTTCACTTTGACTATTGTTTCTTTGTAAATGCAGTTTATAAAAATTATAGAAAAGTAATTGTTTTCATCTTTCTGGGTTCTGTTTTTTAATTAGCTTTATTAGCATTCTTTACAATCTGTTAAAGGTTCAAATGCTTTAAGAATTTTGTGTCTGCTCTTCTTCCCTGTCACTCTCCTGTTAATAGAATGCTTTATTTTTATAAATGTATGTCAACTTCTAGACAACTTTTGAGAATAACATAGTCTAAAAGGATATCTTTGTAATTTAGTTTTCAGTGTGGACAACAGATCAAGGAATTAAGAGCACAACATGAAGAAAATATTAAAAAGTTAGCAGACCAGTTTTTGCAGGAGCAGAAGGTAATTTAAAAAATACTTCAATCAAAATATATTCTTGTTATAAATCTTACAATTTAGAAATTAAAATATGTACTTATTGTCATTACAATTGTATTTTAAGTATTCTAAGGCTGCCTAATTCTAAAAATGACTTGAAGTGGCCTTATTGCTGAATAAGTTAGACTTTTGCAAAAATATAATCTCAGCGTTTAAAGTTAATTTTGAGCTAAATATCTCTTATCTGACTATTAAAAATAAATTCACTGTTAATATACTTCCTAGATTGTAAAGGGGATAACATTTTATTAAAAAAAATCAATTACTTCCTATTTTATGCTTTTGAGAAACAGGAAAAAATTGAGAATCTTTCCCCCTAATTATCAGTATTTGTTACTTTGAATTTCTTTTGTAAAATGCATAAATGAGACAGTAGCCCCTAGCTATTTCTTTTCTTTTTTAAAGATTTATTTATTTATGCAAGAACCGGGTTACAGGCCAGATGCGCAGGGGGTGAGAGGATTCACCAGAGACAGAGTGGGGAAAAGAACAGGCAGACTGATGAAACACACTGCTGAGGGGAGCAGCGGGCGAGGTCCGTGGCACCATGTGGGATTCTCCTCGGCCACCCATGATCAAACCTGCCCTGCAGAGGCTGCTGACAGCTTCACAGTGCGGTGCTCAACCACCTGTGCCACCAGGGAGGCCCACCCCTAGCTATTTCTTATTCATATTTTGGGGGATAACAAATACTTTTATTAATTTATCCAGTTTCTGTTGATACATATGTATGTTGTAGAAATGGAGGAAATTGTCTGAAGATAAGTCATTAGAACATGTTTCAATTTTTTACATCCTGAACTCTTATTTGATTAACCATGGTTTTTATAAAGTATTGTGATTTAGAGTAAAGATAAGTTGAATAGCAAAAACTATTTTGATCTTTGGCAGACCTCACCTGGAGAACTAAAAGTTAAGGAAACCTTATTTTCATTCTTGACTATTTCACTACTTTACAACAGGATATTAAATGCATCATTTCTTTTTCCTATTTCATTTTTTGAATCAACTACTATCTCACTGCAGTTTACCTTGAAAAGAGATGTGAGGATGGATTACTAAGACATGAAAGGCCTGAGTGAGATACCATAGTGAAGGAGAGGCACTGACGGCAGCCAGAAGTATTATTTTGACATTGAACAGTTTGAGGAACATGGTAGAATGCAGAAGAGGTAGGGGTGGGAAGAGAGGTTGCTGTTGCAATTGTATTATTACAAGCCCAGTATATAAATAATAGGATTAATTTGCTATCTTCTTGCCTCCCAAGGACAACAAAATAGTCTAAAAGAATGACTGACTTTGTAATTTAGTTTTCAGTGTGGGCAACAGATCAAGGAATTAAGACTAGTGTAGTTCTTTCTTTCTGCTCTTCTGTCTATATTAGGAATTATTTATATTTTTAATTATTGTTCTCTCCAATTTTTCTTTCCCCATTATCTTACTCTAAATGGAACAAATATCAGAGATGCTTAAAGAACTCCTTTCTAGGGTAACATACCAGCCTTTATGCTCTGACTACTGTATCTTTTGTTTTTGTTTTTGTTTTTGTTTTGAGTAGATGACCCAAACAAGTTTATCTTTATATATTTCTCGTGTATTAATTTTTATTGCAGTAGCACTGGTTTACAAAGATGACTATAATCTTCAGATCTAATCTTCAACTAAAACAAGTTGGGTCTGTGAAATTTGAGTTGTTTTTTTAATAGGAAAAAAACCTCAGTGTTAGCTGTATGAAAGAAACATAGGTTATATTTAGGGATTTCATTTTTTAACTGAGCACATGCCTATCTTAGAAATTCCTCTAGAGAAGGAGTCAGCAAACTAGATCCAATTCCTGCCTATTTTTGTACTGTGTATGAGTAAAGAATCATTATTATATTTAAAAATGGTGAAAATCAAAAGAATGTTTTATGATATAAGAAAATTGTAAGAAATTCGCATTTTAGTGTCTATAAATTGAATTAGAACAGAGCCATACTCATTTGTTTACTGCTTTTATGCTACAAAGGAAGAGAAATTATTACAGACCAGATGAGACTAAGTAGATCTGAGGACTTAAATGCAGTATAGTATGCTGAATTGGATCCTGGAACAGAAAAAGAACTTAATGGATAGACTGGTTAACTCTAAATAAAACCTGGAGTTTAGTTAATAATATGCTAATGTTGATCTTATAAATGTACTATGCTGTGTAATTTGTTAACATTAAGGGAAACTGCATTAGGATAATTACTTTTCTGTAAATCTAAAATTATTTCAGAAAAAATGTATTATTTCAGTTTATTTAAAAACAACTAGATGGCCCCCTTAGCAAATCACCAATGTGTCATAGAAAGTTATTTTATCAAGAATATTTAATGTCCATTCACATAAAGGTACTGTTAGTAGTAATGCATGAAAGGGATGACATCTTTATTAACTATTTTAAATGAAGTATTACTTTTGAACAGTAGTCTGTTGACTTTTAATTTTTGTCTTATCCACATCTACAAAACAGTGGAACACTATAGAAAATAGTCTTATGATACAGTATTAAGAGAAAAATGTAGAGATGCTGGAAGGCTCTTCAGGTTGTATACCTCATGGATTTTCTCACCCTTGGTCTTCATAATGACATGTTCAAAAATTTCAGTCATTTCTCTCATTAATAATTAAGCCCTCAGAATTAGCTATGGTATACCAACTTCCCAGAAAATGTGGGTATGAGAAAGACTGGATTGAGTTCTTTCTCTATAATTCTGTAGCTTTGTGACCTTGCTCAAGCTACGTAAGCCTTCTTCTTTATGCTTCAGTTTCATTTGATTTCCCTAAAACTATTCATTTCTCTCTACAGAGGATAGATTTGAAAGTAATTTGTAAAATGTGATGCACATTGCAGATGTTTTGTTTTTTATTTGCCAGGTTTTTTATTTGCCACTTGAATACCTACACCTGATTGCTAAAGTACTCTTCTTCATTGTGACAAATCTTAAGATTTGGCTTGTTTTCTAGATTTCGTACAGATTTCTAGTTCTCTTGCATTTTATAACATTACTAATAATTATATTGCATAGTGCTTTAGAGTTCACAAAGCATTTATGTATGTATAAAATATTAAGTAGAAGGACCTATGTGGTAACCGGAATGTGTACTTGACTCCTTACCTGTCACACTTTTCCATGAGGTGATGCAACCAAGAGAGACAACTGTCCCATCAATAGAATTGAATCAGACCTAATTCTATACCTGAAGATTTAAGTTTCCAAGGAGATGACATGGTTTGCAGCAGGTTGACTCACATGTGTATTGTTTTGCCATTCTTGTCTATGCATAGGTTGCCAGTGCACCTGGAGGAAGTTTGCTTGTTTTCTACCTTTACTTTTTCTTCTTAAATGAGAGATAATAGTAGCTATCTACCACACTTGAGGAGGCACCATGTTCCTCCTGCTTTCTCCTATCCTGATTGATTGTAAGATGTACCTATAGAGAACCCTCCCCGCCCATCGGGCCCAAGAGTCAGACTCCACAGCAACAGTGCTCAGTGAGACTGTCTTCTTGCAGAATTGTTACAGCAGTTTCCCAGAGAAAACAGGTGGCACCCAGAGAGATGGAGAGAAAGATTTAATTGTCACACTGGTGAGCTCATTGGGATCACTCCCAAAAGTCTGAGCCCCAAAGAGCAGAAATGGCAGGGTTTTATACAGGTTGTATGAGGAAACTTGTCATCCCATCCATCATAGCATAGTCATTCTCTATTGTTTGGGAAGGGGATCAAGGTAGCTGTGGCTACTACTGTGGATAAGCAGTATACCCAGCAACTTCTCCGCTCCAGCAAGCAGCAGAATCTAAGCAGCAGACTCCCCCAAGCAGCAGACTTAGCAACTTCCTGCTTCAGAATTACTCCCTCAAGTATAACCAAAGAGAATTACCTCTGCTTAACATTTTCGGTTAATATTTATTTGGTGAGAGGCTTTTAAAAGTGCATAAAAGTACACAAAGTGATTTTACTTTGTATCAGGTATAATAACTGAACAGAAAGTAATATCATATCCCACATCTGCAAGTATTTGAAATTTGGACCTATGGTTTATGTTTCCAAAACATGAAGTGTTTCATAATATTTAATTAATTAATAGTTGTATCAATAGTTTAATGTTTTGAACTGAAAAATATCTACTTTACAAATCTTTATCTAACAGCAGCAAGAGGTCAACAAGGTTCAATCAAAAGGTGAAAATGAATTGGATATGAACAATCATGTAATACCAAAAAATATTCCAAAAGTAGCTGAGAACGCTGCAGAGAAGAACGAAGAACCCTCAAGCAATCATGTTCCACATGGAAAAGGTATTACTCCTGTTTTGTTTTGTGTTAATAGGACACTGACTTTGTTATCTCATTTTCAAGTGAACATTTTCTTTTAAAGATTTATTTTTATTTATTGCTGCATGCAAAACTGAAGTGTAGACCAGAGGTGTAGGGGTGAAAGTATTCACCAAAGACAGAGTGGGGAGCAGAACAGGCAGATCTACTGAGATACACTGCTGAGGGGAGCAGCGGGAGAGACAGGAGAGGTCTGCTGCTACTATATGCCAGCTGCCTGACCGGGGATCGAACTCATGCCACAGTGGCTGGCGATAGCTTGATAGTGCTGAGACTTTAACCCCTGTGCCACTAGGGAGGCCCTTTCAAGTGAACATTTTCAATCATAAAGAATATTGTTTTATTTTGGTTCCATTATGATTTAGTGTCTGTTATTGCAAAGTTGGGTCCTTTGATAAAGGAGAAAACAGAATTAAGTTCTCTTTGAGTTGCAACTATGTTCAAAGCAAGATCAAGTCAGAGTAACCTATTAGGCTGATTTTTACGTTCCTTCAAACCATATAAGGAGAAATATAGAATTAACTTTTGCTGTGTGTGCAGAACAAATCAAAAGAGGTGGTGATGCAGGAATGCCTGGAATAGAAGAGAATGAGTTGGCAAAAGCTGACGACCTTCCCACTGGTAAGTAAAGAATAGTGAAGAATTTAACTAAAGCAGTCATCTTATTTTTCATGTGACCCTGTTCTCCTTTTGAGTAATGCTTTAAAAAAGTCACAGCTCTCTGGATGATTGATATTTCTAATTAAGTACCCATTAGTTATCAGAATATAATTGTTCTATAGCCTGTTGCTTGGATATAATTTTTTGAAAACTTGTGCTAAAGTGAGAGTGAGGAAAATGGGACCTCTGCCTTTTATGGAGATGTCCATGTAACAGTCCCAAGAAGAGTTGTTGATTTTTCAACCTGGTCAGCCTTTTATGTGTTAGGACAGAGTGGCAACTTCTAAGTTCCTTACATGTGGAATGGGAAAGCAGAGGTAACTACTATACTAAGATCCGTGTGTATCGATTCCCATACATGTTTTTAGACTTTTACTGCATTTGTAAGCATATATAAAATTTTAAAGTATTGTTTAGTCTACTGCTTAAACTTTAAATAAGTGGTGTTTTATTGTGTTATATTATTCTGCAACTTACCTCTTCCCTTGGTATTATGCTTTTGAGAGTCATCCATGTTACATCTGTTTCCTTTTAACAGTTATAATTGTATAGACAGGTATATTTTTTTCACATAGAATATATACAACTAGGTTACTTCGGGTCTTTTGTTATTTCAAACAATACTATAGTGAACATTCTTTTGTGACTTCTTGCACACATGAGATTCTCCAGATACTTCTAATATTGAATTAGTACATGGAGATAAAAAGGTAAGGTTCCTGCTGGCTAGAGGACAGGTCCAGGTATCTAGTTATCACTAAATCTACCTACCTATTCACTGAGGTCTGAGGACATCAATAACTCAGCACACTGGTAACCCTTAAACAATTCCCTGCACACTGGTTATAAAGCCGTGTACAAGGATATGAACTGAAACGTAGATTGTTGCATCATAGATTATCTTCAGCTTCACTATACAGTTTATACTTCTAGTAATATATGAAGGTTTCTGTTGATCCACATCCTCACTAACATTTGGGTTTGTTATACTTTTAATTTTTTGCCGATTTGATGTTTATGAAATGGTATCTCATTTTAACTTAAATTTGCCTTGGTGCTAGTATCATTAAGCATCTCTTCATAATATGAGCTGTTTTGATTGCCTTTATGAATTGCCTGGTAATCATTTTTGCCCATTTTTCTATTAGATAAATGGTATTTTTCGTTTAAGAGCCCTTTACTAGTATGTAATGAAATTTTTTTTTTAATGTCATGTGAAACAACGAAGAGGAAAATCTTATTTCTTACTTGGAAACATTTTTCTGGTTTTAAGATCCAATCAAATCTCAGTAAAGATTGCCTCTAATGATTTACTTTGGAGAAAACCTAATACAGACATAAAAATTTATATGCACCTGAGCAATTAGACGTTATTTTTTAATTAATACCATAGAAGAGAAGTCTACGTCTTTGTTTTTTTTTAATATTAGGTTGATATTTTCTACTTATAAGATAATTTTCTGTAACAGAGGCTTTTGACCTTGGCTGTATATTTGAATCTCTGGTGGGACAGGGGGAGGGACCTGATGCTAGAGGCCAGAGATTTTGATATATTTATTCTGATGTGTGGTTTGGGCACTGGCTTTTGAAATGCTTTCTAGGTAATTGTACTATGAGGCCAAGGTAGGAAACCACAGCTCTAGGAGGATTCTCTATATTTGCACTAATACAGTAGCCACTGGTCACATGTAGCTACTTAATTAAACTTAAATAAAACTAAAAATTCAGTTGCTCAGTCAAACTAGCCATACTTCAAGTTCTAGCAGTCACCGGACTAGTGGTTACTGTCTTGGACAGCACAGATATAAAACATGTCACTACAGTTCTGTTGGATAGCACTGTTCTAAATTGAAAATGGTGATAATGGTTGACTCTAGGGAAACAACTGAGAACAAAGCTTTGAGTTTTGCTTTCAAAATTTCATAAGGTAATTTCATAACCTATTTAAAAATAGTTTTTAAAGGTAAAATAGAGAGAAATACAGTGATATTTGAGAGAAAAAAGATAATGTTTTAAAGAAGCAGTGTTTTTTAAAAAAATGTTTATATTCTTTCTCTCAGGATTAAAAGTTACAGGAAAAAATACCTAAATTTATAAAAACATGTTAAAATATTTTAACAAATTAAATCAGTGTAGATTTAATTAAATACATTTTTTTCTGTTAGCATCTTGTGAACCAGGAATTGGCAAACTACAGCTTGGTTGCTTGTCTTAATAAGTAATTTTTTTTTAAAGATTTATTTATTTATTTATACAAGCACTGGATACAGTCAGAAGCGCAGGAGGGTGAGAGAATTCACCAGAGCCAGAGCGGGGAACAGAAAGGCAGACCGACAAAATACACTGCTGAGGGGAGCAGTGGGCGGCAGGAGAGGTCTGCATGCCATGTGGGACCCTTGCCTGGCGGCCAGGGATCGAACCGGCGCTGCAGAGGCTGTGGGCAGCTTCACAACCCAGTGCTCAACCGCTGCGCCACTGGGGAGGCCCCTTATTAAGTAATTTTATTGAAACATTACCATGTTCATTTGTTGATGTGTTATCTGGACTTTCAAGAAAAAAGTTCTCAAAGGTCTCTGTTCTAAAAGAATCAAATTATATAAAATTGGACATTATTTTTCAGAAAAATAATTTGTACAAGTATAATGTCAAATTTTAAGTATTCCTGAAAATTGCTGCCAAAGATACATCACTACTTCTAATGACACATTGGATTTATAACTGAAAGACATTTTTTCAATTTCATATTTTGTGGGGCCACAATTTATACCAGCCACAATTAGGGAAAAAGGAATTAAAATAGGATCTTAAAACCAGCAAATACCATCCAAGGAGAATAATGTAGTTAGGACTCAGGTAGAATAGTTTGAGTTGAGTTTAACTGGTGCTATTTCTTGACTTTTTAAAAACTGTCTTTCATAAGTACTATGTTTTAGTGGTTATTCTGGGAATTACAATGTGCATCTGTAACTTAACATGGTTTTCATAGAAATAATATTGCAACAACTCATGTAAAATGTTAGAACCTTACAAAGATAAAATTCCATTTATTGGGCCTCCCTGGTGGCACAAGTGATTGAGCACAGCACTGTGAAGCTGTCCACAGCCTCTGCAGTGCCAATTCGATCCCCGCTGGCCGCAGAGATACACAAGTGGTGGGGCAGACTGCTTCTGTCTCGCCCTCTGCTCCCCTCAGCAGTGTATTTCAGTCATTCTGCTTGTTCTGTTCCCCACTCTGTCTCTGGTGAATTCTCTCACCCTCCCGCACATTTTACCTGTACCCTGGTTCTTGTATAAATAAATAAATCTTTTTAAAAAATCCATTTATTTCACTTCATCCTTTGCTCTATTCTGTCATATATTTTACATCTGATGCTCTTCATTTCATCCTGTGGATTCCAGTTTATCTTGATAATCATTTTCTCTTAAGTCTAAACAACTGTATGTTTCTTGGACAAGACTTTTTAGCAACAAAATTTTTCATCTTTTGTTTATCCAAAAACATCTTTATTTCATACTCATTTTTGAGTAGGATACTTTAGTGGATCTCGAAATTTCAGTTGATGATTTTTCTCTATAAGCACTTTTAAAAATGCAATTCTGGGGCCTCCCTCGTGGCGCAAGGGGTTAAGCGCTGCACTTTGAAGCAATCCGCAGCCTCTGCAGTACGAGTTCGATCCCCAGCTGGCCAGAGAGAAACCCACATGTCGAGGCAGACCTCTCCTGTCTTACCTGCTGCTCTCCTCAGCAGTTGTATTTCAGCCAGTCTGCCTGTTCTGTTCCCCTCTCTGTTTCTGGTGAATCCTCTCACTCCCCGCATCTCTGGCCTATACCCCAGCTCTTGTGTGCATATATTAATAAATATTTTTTAAAAATGCAATTCCACTGTCTTCTAGCCGCCACTGATTCTGACAAGTCAGCCATTATTCTTTTTGTTGTGCTTTTTTTTTTTTTTTTGGGACCCTCACCGGTGGCTGGGTATTGGACTGGCGCTGCAGAGGCTGCAGGCAGCCTCGCAACCCAGCGCTCAACCGCTGCGCCACCAGGGGAGGCCCTTGTTGTGCTCTTTTTTAGTGTGTATTGTTAAACTACTTTTCTGCTTAACTTTAATTTGACTCATGTATGCCTTGGTTTATTTTTGTATTTATACTAGCCATAATTTGGGAGTCTCTAAAGTTCTTCAATCTGTGAATTGATTTTTTTTAATCAAATCTGAGGAATTTTCAACTTTTATTAAAATTCAGATTTTATTAAAATTTTTTCTGTTCAAGGCTCTCTTTTTTTCTCCTTGGGACTCAAGTTACTTAGGTGTTTTGGGACTGCTTAATGTCCCAAACGTCACTGAAGTTCTGTTCAGTTTTTTGCAGTTTTTTCCTATTTCAATTGATTAATGTATTTGATCTGTCTTCAAATTCCTTTGCCCTCTTTTCTGCTCCATTTAATCCACCCTTCAGAGGCCATCAGTGTATTTTTTTAGATATTGTTTTTTCAGTTTTTGAATTTTCATTTGCTTCTTTTTTTAGTCTCCATTTCTCTCTTAGATATCTCCGTATTTTCTTTCAGTCTTTGTACAAATATGTAATAGTTGTTTGCAAGTTCCTGTCTGCTAATTTCAACAAGTGGTTCATATTTGAATCTGTTTCCGTTGATTGCTTTTTTATTTGATTATGAGTCATATTTCCTTGCTTCTTTGTATGGTAATTTTATCATGTAATATATCAATGACATTAAGAGAATGTGGATTTTATTGTCTACTTTAAAGGGTGTTGAGTTTTATGGTAGCACACAGGAAAATTACTGGCAGATACTCTTGATTGTGTCAGACTTGGTTTTATGTTTTACTAGACTTGACTCTTGATTTTTCTTATAAGTCTGAAGTTATTTATAGCCCTTAACTCTAGGTTGAAATAGCGACTTTTAAAGTAAGACTTGTGGCATTTCATCTGAAAGCCCAAGATGCTCAG